AAAACAAAGGGAATGGACGTCCGAGCGATGGCAAGCCAGGGCGGGGCCCCCCCGGCTCTGGCCTGCGCCCCTGGACGTGGCGCCCCCGCGGCCTCCTGCAGCCGCACCCCACAGGTCGCCACTGCTTACCGTGCCGTTTTTTGAGGCATGCTCCGTGTGCGCATCATGCATGAAACATGCAGGGATTCAGTACCAAAAGCAACGCTGAGTTCATGCATAAATGTATTCATATATTAATCATGCATTAAACATCCCATGCTTTAAAACATCATATGTATTAAAAGCTGCCCTGTAGGGTCCACTGCTTCCTCCTGCGTCAGCTGAGCAGGGGGGGCCAGCCCAGAGGGTGGGGCTGGGGAAAGAGTCCGCCTGGGCGCCGAGCCAAGCCCTCTCTTTCGCCCGAGGGTCGCTCGGAGCCACCTTCCTCCCGCCCCCCCCCTCACTCCCCCGATGTGTTGGCGCCGCGGAGCTGCAAGGGCTCAACGAGAGCGGAGGGGGGGGAGTCTGAGGCCTTGGCCTCCACAATTACTCAATATGAATACTACTCTCCCTCTTCCCCTGATGACGTGCTGGGAGTGTTCGCCCCCCGGCGAACTGTTTTTTTACACACAGGATTCCCGGGAGTTGGGTTTTCGCCTGCATTTTTGTTCCAAAATGCTGCTCTCGCTGGGGCGCCGGCCTCATTTTCGGGCCCCGCTCGTTCCGAATCGTGCTCCCGCTGCAGCGTGGGTCTCATTTTCGGATCGGTGCTTTGCCTCCGTCGTTCAGGATGGCGTTCTCGCCCCAGCGCGGGCCTCTTTCTCGCGCGCCCGTCCGCCCGCCACCACCGCACCGCGCCCCGCCCCGCCCACCGCCACTTCCACCCACCAACGCACGCACGCACGCACGCACGCACCCGCACCGCCACCACCACCCCACTACCCCACCCACCACCACCACGCTACACCGCGTCACACCACATCACACGCGCGCGCACACAGACACACACGCACGCACGCACACACACGCACACACATACACATACACACACACATACACACGCACACACACACATACACACACACACACACACGCACACACACACCACCACCACCACTACCGCCACCACCACCACCGTCATCACGCACGCACGCACGCACCTGGCCCACCACCAAACCACCAAGACGCCACACCACGTCACACCACAGCACACGCGCACACACGCACACACACACACACCACCACCACCACCACCACCACCACCACCACCACCACCACCACCACCACCACCACAACCACAACCACAACCACAACCATAACCATAACCATAACCACAACCACGCACACACGCACGCACGCACGCACGCACCACCACCACCCACTACGCACGCGCGCGCGGAGCCACAGGTCCGCTACGACACGCGTCCGCGGATAGAGAAAATCAGCGCCATGGTAAGGGATGGGAGGGAGGGGTAGGACGTCACATATGACGCGAGCGCACCGATCTTGCCTTTCCCCCCTCTCCTGCTTCCTGCCCCTGCCACATCTCGCGTTCCCCATGCCGCCTCCGTCGGGAGGAGGAGGAGGAGGAGGAGGAGGAGGAGGAGGAGGAGGAGGAGGAGGAGGAGGAGAGGAGGAGGAGGAGGAGGAGGAGAAGGAGGAGGAGGAGGAGGAGGAAGAGGAGGAGAAAGAGGAGGAGGAGGAGAATGAGGAGGAGGAGGAGGAGGAGGAGGAGGAGAAGGAGAAGGATGACGGGAGGAGGGAGGAGGAGGATGAGGAGGAGGAGGAGGAGGAGGAGGAGGAGGAGGAGAGGGAGGAGCAGGAGGAGGAGGAGGAGGATGAGGAGGAGGAGGAGGACTCCCCCCCCCTCCCTTCCCCCCTGCCCACCCCCTCCCTCTCCTGCCCCGCTCCCCCCCATACTCTCTCCCTTCGGGAGTGCGCGTCGCCGATCCTGGCGGGGTCCACTCCCTCGGCCAAGGATCGGTGCTTTCGCTCGCTTCTGGCCCAGGGAGGCAGCAAACCCAGACCCCCTCGGGCAATGACACAATCATGACGGAAGGTTTTTTGCTACTTTCGGCATCTGGGGGCCCTTACCGGCCCTCGAGACCGTAAATACAACGGCTCAGGATGAAAAACCGGTCCAGGGGAATGGGTCGAGACCTCCTGGGGTCGACGTAATGAAAAATGATCATGACGTCTGGGGTCTGGCAAGGAGTTCAGTGACCACATTGTGTGGTGAGTCAGTGGGTATTTGGGTATTTGGGGTGGCCGCACGGTTTTGAGACTTTGGGTCGTTCTTTGATGATGCTTCCGACAATTTGGGGCCTCCAATGCCGCAAAACCGTGAGGTGACAGACCATGCGGTGAGGTCTTTGGGGCTTCCGAGGTCACCTCACGGTCTGTCACCGCACCAGTTCGGGACCCCCAGCGTCGTGATTGTGTCGTGGCGTCGAATTTCAGAGGGTTGGACTCCTTTCCGAGGACCGGCTTTCCGTCTTGAGCAGTTTGTCGAGGGTCCCGC